CATGCGCAAGACGCCACGCCGCTGGACCTCCCAGGGAGAGCCAGCGAACGGGACCACAGCTGCGCGGCTCGGAACCCCGCCATCGAAAAGAGATGGGAGGTAGGAGGTTTGGGGGCAGCGAGGAGGAGGACGAGGAACAGGAGGGGGAGGGACAACGTGCGAAGAGATGGGAGGTAGGAGGTTTAGGGGCAGCGAGGAGGAGGACGAGGAACAGGAGGGGGAGGGGCAACGTGCGGCTGGAGCAAGCGGTGCTCCTACCCAGCGCGAGCGAGGACCCAACCAGAGAGGGAGGGCCGAGAGCGAGGCCGTGGGAGGGTGGGCCGACCGGGGCCGGAGCTGGCGCCCCGCAGAGGGGCCCCAAGCCCTCGGGTTCCCCGCGCTCGCCCCTGCGAACACACACTCCCCAGACAGAGCTTGCGCATAGGGGCTCCCATTGGTTTTCTCAGGAGCTGACTCCCCCCGGAACTCAAAGACTTCGATTTCTCATAAGGTGCTGAAGGAGTCGTGCAAATAACGACCTCCAATCTCTAGTCTGCACAGTTTATGGTTAAGACTGGGACGGTATCTGCTCGACTTCGATCCCCTAACTTTCGTCCTTGATCCATGAAAACATCCTTGGGCCTGGGTGTCGGTGCGGCCGGCTTGCCGCCGCCGTTGCCGGCCGTCGCCGCCGTCCGTCGCCGCTGTGTTGCCTGGCATCGCTCGGACGTGTGCATTCTTCTCTCGGCGGGGGCCATCGAGGAGCGTCCCGGATCATGTGGCGAAAAAAACCCACGCACGAAACCGCACAAAAACACAGGGAATGGACGGCCGAGCGATGGCGAAAGCTGGGCCTGGGCGTCGGTGCGGCCGCGCTTGCTGCCGCCGTTTTGCCGCCCGTCGCCGCCGTGTCGGGGCCCCGGGTGTCGGTGCGGCCGCGCCTGCTGCCGCCCGTTGCTGCCCGTGGCCGCCGCCCCGTGGCATCCCCCCCCTCCCCGTTGCGGTGCGCGCGGTGGCAACGAATTGCGCCACATAGCTTGCCGCCTCCTCCTCCTCCTCCTCCTCCTCCTCCTCCTCTCTCCTCCTCCTCCTCCTCCTCCCTCCTCCTCCTCCTCCTCCTCCTCCTCCTCCTCCTCCTCCTCCTCCTCTCCTCCTCCTCCTCCTCCTCCTCCTCCTTCCTCCTCCCTCCCTCCTCCTCCTCCTTCCTCCCTCCTCCTCCTCCCTCCTCCTCTCCTCCTCCTCCTCCTCCTCCCCTCCTCCTCCTCCTCCTCCTCCTCCTCCTCCTCCTCCTCCTCCTCCTACCTCCTCCCTTTCATTTTAGAAGGGAGATCATCACATAGGTTCGTTATCTCCCTTCTAAAATGACATTCGGAATCCCCGCCCCGGGGATTACCTGCACCCCCTGGGGATGTGCAGTTTATGTATGGTTCTGCCCCATCCTTCATTCTGAACGTGAATTCATACGATCCCAGCCCGACCAGTATCGACCCCCCCTCATCCCTTACGAAGAATACCATGCGCGCACTCTTCTGCGCGTCGTCGGGCGTGCATCCCGAAATCCGCCTTTCAAGATCGCTTGCTTCAGAAATCATACGAAACCAATGGTTTCGCAGCAGGAATGTTCAAAAAAGCTTGCGTTCGCGCTCTTGTGAACTAGTTCTTCAGACAACCATCGGTGTTTTATGGAAGCAACATCTTCATCAAATGCGACCAAACGCGCCCCTCGAGCGCGCATGTCGACATCATTCGAACGCTTTTTTGCGCGCGTGCTGTCGCAAGAATCCCTTGCAACAGAGAGGTCTACGTGCATGCGCGCGCCGTCGCTAGCGCGCATGCTGGGATTTGTCGGACACCTTAGGTTTAGGCTTCCAGAGCCGAATGTCCCGGAAACATACGAGCAATGGTGTCGCACCAGGAGTTTTCAAAAACAACGCCTGCGCTCGTGCTCCGGCGAATTCTTAAGGAAAACCATCCGTTTCACCATTGCCATCCAGTGCTGCCAAGCGTGCCTCTCGCGCGCGCTTGCATGATTTATTCCAGAGCCCCTGCGCGCGTGCTGGGGGGTGCGATCCCTATCAACAAACATTCAGTGCGGGTCACTCGCGCGCGTTGGCCGCGCGCGCGTGTCGAACTCCTTCCAAAATTTTCACCACTGACGCGAGGACACCATCATCGTCATGGGCGTGATCAGCATCGTCGCAGTCATTGCCCGTGCCGTCGTCAGTGTCATCGTCGTTACCAGCATTGGTATTATCATCCTCGTGTTTGCCATTGTCGACGTCGCAATGATTCCGCGCCCGCCCGAGCCACCGACTCACACTGATGTGCCCGCGCGTCAGCGCGGTTAGCGAGACGTGCTGGGAAGTTCTCAGCGGTCAGTGCCACCGCGGCCGCGTCGGTCGCGCCAGATTAGCTGGCCGCTCTACTCGCGAGCCTGCGCGCGCTAGCGCGGCCGCAGCGATTCACCAACCAGCATTAGCCAGCCATCGCAATCGCCGTCGCATGGGTTCTGCAAATCAAGTTGCAGGCGGGTGGATGGGATGATTGCGCGAGCCTGGGAGGTGGTCGATCGCGGGGGAGTCAAAGTAAAGTGCCCCACGTAATTTGTACTACGTAGTCTAATAAGAATTCCTTTCTACTTGCCAGGCGCTACAGTTTTTGACCATCGGCGGAGAATTCCGTAGCTGGCCCCGCGTGCATCGGACGACCGACTAGGACGCAAAAGTGCCCTGATGTGGAGTCGCGAGCCTTCGTGAGCTCTTTGGGATGGCCGGCCCGCGAAGCAAGAGCGACAGCCATGGATGAGGATTCCCAGGGCCACGCCGCGTCAAAACGAGAACGAGTGCAATTGAACATCGACGATGACGAAGGCGACAGTGACAATATCAAGGGGCCCATACCCAGCGATTGAGCTGTGAGTGGGTCCAAGTTGGGGTGATTTCCGGCCTTGTTCTGTGTTTTACACCGTGTTTTACATATGTATGTATATATATACACACAAAGCAAATCTACATGTACACACACGTGTATGTACAGATGTGTGTGTGTGTGTGTGTATATATATATATATATATATATATATATATATCCCGGGGGGACCGAGGCTCCCTGGCCGGGCCCAAGGCCTCCGCACCGCATGGGAGGACAGGGGCCGCGTGACCGCACTCAGACTCTGTCCAAGCACGCTGCAGCTCGAGAAAATAGCCCAAGAGGGGTGCAACACGCCCACAATGGCGCAAAGACAGCCTCAGAGGCTCCCAAAGCGCACCCAGAGAGGCCCAAGAGACTTCCCAAGAGAGCCCCCGAAGGCGAAAATCGACCAAATCCCAGGGAAGACTTACAAGTTTACCATACACTGGTAGACGGCTTGGGCGCGCTGCACGGCAGCCCAAGAGGCAGACCGCCCCAGACGCCTCAAGACGCCCCCGAGAGGTCCCCAGGAGGCCGCCAAGACAGCCCAAAAAGGCACCATATTAACTGTGAATAGAACCGTGTAATACCCTCATATATACTCCTTATCCTCACCTCTCCTGCGCCTGGCCGTTTGGGCTCAGGTATTGGACTAGATCGATCAGACCTTTGATCGTGCAGGAGGAAAAGATATCCATCTTTCCCTCCTTTCCTCTACCAGCGGATCAGGGGTTCTGTACCTTTGTACTCTAACCCCATAAACATTAACAGCCCAAGACGCGCCTAAGACGACCCAGCCAAGAGAGACCCAAGACGGCCCCCCGGGCCGCCGGCAGGCCCCCAACAAGCCCCAGGACGCCCCCAAGAGTTCCAGAAGAGGCCCCGAGAGGCTCCCGAACGGCTCCCAAACGCCCCAAGAGGCTTTTTTTCTCGTGAGACCGGCGCTTCGTTCCCTCTTCCTCCTCCTCCTCCTCCTCCTTCTCCTCCTCCTTCATCCTCCTCCTCTCCCTCCCCCTCCTCCCTCCTCCTCCTCCTCCTCCTCCTCCTCCTCCTCCTCCTCCTCCTCCTGTTCCTTCCCCTCCTCCTCCTCCTCCTCCTCCTCTTCCTCCCCTCCTCCTCCTCCTCCTCCCCTCCTCCTCCTCTCCTCCTCCTCCTCCTCCTCCTCCTCCCCCTCCTCCTCCTCCCCCCCCACCTCCTGCTCCTCCTCCTTCTTCTCCTCCTCCTCCTCCTCCTCTTCCTCCTCCTCCTTCTCCTCTCCTCCTCCTCGTCCTCCTCTCCGTCCTCCTCCTCCTCTTCCTCCTCCTTCACCTGCTCCTCCTCTCCCTCCTCCTCCTCCTCCTCCTCCTCTCCTCCTCCTCCTCCTCCTCCTCCTCCTCCTCCTCCTCCTCCTTCATCCTCCTCCTCCTTTTCCCCCTTTTCCTCCGCCTCCCGGGTCCTGGGCCCAGTTCCGCGCGGCGCCCGCGCCGCTCCCGCGCCCGCCCCTGCCCTCCGGGCCCTCCTTGAGCCAGCCGGTGTCGCACCACGGCGGCGACGACGACGACGACTGAGATTGCGGCGACGACGACGACGACTGAGACTGCGACGACGACGACAAGTGAGACTGCGACGGCGACTGCGACGACGACTGCGACGACGACGACGACGACGACGACGACGACGACGACGACGACGACGACGACGACGACGACGACGACGACGACTGCGACGACAACGACGACGATTGCGAAAGACCTCCAGCGCGATCTCCTTCGGGGAAGGAACGCAGAGCAGCACGGAGAAGGAGTCGCGCCGACGCTCTTCGGACTTGCAACCGTAGAGATTGGCTGTGGTTGCGGAGAGCCCTGGAGAAGCTATGACTAGAACCCACGCGCGCGCGTGGGTTCTAGTATATATATATATATATATATATATATATGTACACACACAAGAGTGCAATTGCGCTTCGCGCCATGCGCCTTGTTCCTTGTAGTTTCGAGTGCAGGCGGCGTGCGTGCGCGTGGATATGGGGCGCCACCGCCAAGTCGGAATGGGTGAAGAGTTCCTAAGCGGGAGCGACCGGGCAACACCAGCTGAGGCCAGCTCGGGGCGTTTCGGGGCCCAGAGGCGCGAAT